AGGGTCAGAGAGAGAGGGAGTCACAGACTGAAACAGGCTCCAGGCTCTGAGCTGGCAGTCAGCACAGAGCCCGATGCGGGGCTTGAACCCATGAACCGTGAGATCATGACCCAAGCAAGTCGGATGCTTAACCGACTAAGCCACCCAGGCGCCCTTATGATCGCTTATGTGCTTTGAGGAACCCTCTTCTTGCAAAACTAGGTCCTCTAAATGGCGTTCCGTACACCATCGATGTTGTGACAAGACTAGAGGTGTCTCCAAACATTCCCCAAGCTGCACCCTACAGGAAGAGAAGAGGTGGCATCTTACAAGGAAGTGGCATCTTACAAGGAGATGGCCAGACCAGAGCACTGCCTTGAGGGTGGATGTCTACGGCCCCACTTATGTCTGGTTACTAAGCCCATGGGACAGAAGCTGTACCTGGGGATGGGACAATGACACCTGGACTCCCCCAAAGCCCAGGTTTTGTGGGATGAATAATGCGATCCCAGGGAACCTCAAGCTAACAGGATGGAGTCCGTGTTCCTGGGTGGAAGCACATTCCCAAATTTTACACCTAACCTAGGCAGTCACTCCTGGGTCAAAGAAGAAAAGATCTTAGAAATTGTGTATCCGTGGGAACTAAATTAGAATAGAAATGGTCCCGAACAAAACAGAAGGGAGTAAGAACACAGTGTGGGGAAGGAAATGGATAGTGTTAAATATATATACTCAACGGTACAGGTTGGAAATTAATGAACTGAGTATCCATTGTAAGGAATTCTTAGATAAAATCAGTACACTAAACGTAAACAAACTAAATGAACATGCCAGAAAAAAGATAAAACCAGAAATCGATAAAAACATGAGAAATCGGCAGACTTTTCGGGTAAAGGGCCAGACAGTAAATATTTTTGCCTTTGCAGCCACAGGCTTCCAGAAATGAGTAACGACTCGTGTCCACCATTGTGGTGTGAAAGCAGGCTTAGGAGGACAATGGCTGTGTGCCAACCAAACGTTATTTACAAAAACAGAGACAGACAGAAATGCATTAGGAATGAACACAGGAACATAATCATAGGCTCAACACAGGTTGAAACAAGATGAAAAGACCATTAAATTTTGGTGCCAGGAAATATGAAAAGAGATAAATTGGCCTGGATCATTAAAATACACACATAAACACAAAACAATCTCAAGAAGTAGAAAATTTGATCTGTTTCCAGCTAATAAAAAATATATATCACCGCTTAAAAATGTCTGCATCTGTAAGACAGCAGACCCAAATTATTTATAGACAAGTGCTACCAAATGTTCAACATACTCTAAAATATAGAGTAGTGCAAGAGACAGAAAAATAAATATTCGTTTATTCATCTTTTGGTCCCCGAATAACCTGGAGCCCAAACACTAGACCAGAGAATCTGAGAAAGGATAAATCCAGGGCAATCAAAGTTTATTTCAAGATACTGAAAGCAAAAGTCTTTCTTAATGAGAATCTCTTAGAATTCTTTTCTTTAAGTCAGTAATAAGAGCAGAATTCCTGTTACCACTGTTTGTACTCAACACACTAGTGGAACTTCTAGAGAAGAGAGAGAGAGAGAGAAATTCATGGGAGGAGGATGAGTAAGACGAAAATATATTTGTTCACAGATACTATTTTCAATATAAAGATATTAACAGTTTCTACAGGATTTAAAAAATATATATAATAGCTTCAGTGTGAGTATAACATATACTATCAATTTAATGATGTGAAATAATAAACATCTTTTTACAAGGACAGGAAAATGCCTCTTAAGACACTTGAGGATAAATTTATTGAATAATATGGAAAACCTGTTTGCAAAAACTTGTAAACACATATTGAAATCTGTTATACGACATCAAAGTAAATGCATGGATATCCTGTGCTTATGGTAAGAAGATGCACTAGCATAATGTGGTTAATTCCCCCATGTTGCATGGACAGGTTAAATGTATTCTGTGTTTAAGTTTTTTAATGTTTATTTTTGACAGACAGGGAAAGACAGAGAGTGAGCAGGGGAGGGGCAGAGAGGGGGGAGACACAGAATCAGAAGTAGACCCCATGCTCTGAGCTATCAGCATAGAGCCCAACATGGGTCTCAAAATTATGAGCCATGAGATCATGACCTGAGCCAAAGTCAGACACTCAACCGACTGAGGCATCCAGGCCCCCCAAGATTAAATGCATTTTGAACAAAAATCACGAATAAGGTCCTTCACAGAAACTGAGAGCCTGAGTCCAAAATTCTTATGAGCTGGATGACAGGAACAGGCAGTTTTCTCTGAACACAACTAAAATGCTATACAAAATATTATTTTTAAACCACATCTTGCAGTAGTTAAAATGCTAACAAGACAGAAAGGAAGTTCTGGGTGTAGATAAAGGAACAGAGAGAACTCCTGGTGAATGCAGTAATAGATAGATAGATAGATAGATAGATAGATAGATAGATAGATAGATAGATGACAGATATATACATACACTCATACATACATATTTGCATATATACATAGAAAATATTGATTGATAGATAGATAGATATATAGATAGATAATAGATAATATACCTGGATAGATAGAAAATTGATAGATAATAGACAGATGCATATATATATCAATACACAGAAATAATAGATACATAGGCAGATGATAGATAGATAGATAGATAGATAGATAGTTATAGTAGATAAGGATGTGTGTGTGTGTGTGTGTGTTTGTGAGAGAGAAAGAGAGAGAGATACACATATACCGTTTTACACTGTGCTTCCTCAAAATAAGACCTTCCCTCAAGAACTCTAGTCAGAAGTTGATTCTGGGAAGGAGCACCAACAGGAAGTGGGAACATGAGACAAAAAATGAATAGGGTGAGACAGAGCAATGAATGGGATACTTTTCTTTTTTTTTTTTAATTTTTTTTTATGTTTTTTTATTTATTTCTAGGAGAGAGAGAGAGACAGCGCGAGCAGGGGAGGGTCAGAGAGAGAGGGAGTCACAGACTGAAACAGGCTCCAGGCTCCGAGCTGGCAGTCAGCACAGAGCCCGACGCGGGGCTCGAACCCACGAACCGCGAGATCATGACCTAAGCGAAAGTCGGACGCCCAACCGACTAAGCCACCCAGGCCCCCTGAATGGCATACTTTTCAAGCAGGTCACCAGCATGGATGGCTGGGGTTCAATCTTGCGGAGAGCTTTGGAGAAAGTGTCAAATGTGCCCCAGAGCTATCCCAACTGTGGGCTAAGGGGGCCCTGGTACCTACCCATCACCGCTTGTCATTCCTTATGTGAGGGCTGTTTCCCGAAGGCCATAAGGCCCCAGCACTGTGGCCTGCCTCTGATGTGTCTACCAGGCTTCAGCGGTCAGATAAAAGCCCCAGGCAAACAGCCACAGGAGCCAGGATTGGAATCGGGTCGACCAGCATGTGTGAAATAACACAACAGAAGAAAGAAGACTGATCAGTCAGTAAATACACAGCGACCCAATAAAGCATGTTGCAATGTTGGCTTTCCATATGGAAAAAATGAAAACCATATGAACACACACACACACACACACACACACACACACACACACACAACTCCAGATGGATTAAAATTAAACTTTTTCAAGAAAATACAGAAAAAATATCTTTCTCTCCTTGGACCCAAGACGGAATCTTTTAAAACAAAAATGTTAACCACTGAAGAAAACACCATGTGAACTAGCTTACAATGAAGAATTTCTGTGCATCAAAAGATGCCGTAAACACAGTGAAAATGGGAGCCTTCTTAAACAAAGCATTCAAATGATGCATGTCTAGGGCATATATATAAAACTTCCATTTATAGGAAAGACACAAGCGGTGAGGAGACTTGGTGAAATCAATGAGGAGGAAATCCACTCGAGATGGGCAGGCATGTGACTCAACTCATTTGATATGAGGATCCACTCTGTTCATTCAGGGAAACATAAATCAAGGCCACAACATGAGAAACTGCTTTTTCCGTTTGATTAGCAAAATTCACACTCTGTGCTGATGGCCTAGGCCCTGTCTGGGATTCTCTCTTTCCTTTCTCTCTGCCCACCATGACTGCTCACACAGTCTTTCTCTCTCTAAATAAATAAACAAACACTTAAATCCCATCAATGTTTCAGAAAATAAAATTAATTGTCTTTGTTGAATCATTTAGAAAAGTTTTTTTAAAACCGAGATAAAATATAGACATTGTCAGAGAGGTAATCACAAGGATTTAGCCATCAGTTCGCACTCAGCACATGGGATATGGCTTCAGAGTAGGGAAAGCGAGAATATGGGAGTGATTACTCCGTCGTGCTTCAAGGAAGTAGGTTTAAGCCAGTCCCAGGTGTTTGGTGGGGAAAAACACGGAGGTAAAAATAAAGGAAGACCATCAGAGAGGCGAAAGGGCATGATGTGCGTGGATTTCAAATGAGCTCATGAGCTCGGATTCAAGGGGCGTCTGGGTGGCTCCGCCGGTTAAGCATCCGACTTCGGCTCAGGTCATGATCTCACAGTTTGTGGGTTCAAGCCCCACCTCGGGCTCTGTGCTGACAGCTCAGAGCCTGGAGCCTGTTTCAGATTCTGTGTCTCCCTCTCTCTCTGACCCTCCCCTGCTCACGCTGCCTCTCTCTCTCTCTCTCTCTCAGAAATAAATAAAACATTAAAAAAAAAAAAGAGCTTGGATTCAGAGTTGGATGCTGCAAGGGATTGTAAGAGGGGCTGGGGGAAGGGTCTGAGTGAAGCTGAGGATGGCCTTAGGAAACAAATGGCCTGGCATCAGGTACTTGTTATCCAGACGCTGACCCTGATATTTGCTAGGAAGCATCAGGATCCACGCAGATATAAGAGAGGATTCCAACCTTGTGAATGGCAGGAGAAAACCGTTGTGTGCCAGATGTATAGTGTGTGACAGGTTCAGGTCCCTGGCAAGCTGGGAGTTTAGTTCACAGGGTGCTTAGTGACAGGTATGCTTGATTGAAAGGCAGGTTTGCATTTGACATGGTTTGCAGGGAATAGTTTAAATAGAATTTCAGCTTTGGGTGATGATGGTGGAGCTGTTGCTTCTTCCTTGAAGCCTTAGGGAGGGTGTACTCTCCTTTTTTGGTTTACAAGACCACATGAAGGTATAGATCAAAAGGGAGATTTTTCTTTCTTGAGTAATGATGGCCCATGCATTATATGCAGAACAAAGTGAATTTTACCCTTTATTTTCCTTCCAACAACTCAGGCTTCCCTCTTGATTGTTACTAAGGCAGTTTCCATCCTATTCTAAATTATCTGGTTAGCAGACAGAAGACTTCTAACTTTCCCAATAACCCCTTTGAAACTTCTAGGAATGGCATATTAATTGTAGACAGATGATGCTAGATAATAGATGATTGATAGATGGATGATAGATAGATAGATAGATAGATAGATAGATAGATAGATAGATAGATATAGATGATAAGATGGATGCAAAGACAGATAGACAGATGATAGATAGATAGATAGATAGATAGATAGATAGATAGATAGATAGATAGAAGAATGCATGGAAGAATGCATGGATGGATGGATGGATGGATGGATGAATGGATGGATGGATGGATGGATGGATGGACGGACGGACAGATGATGGACAGGCAGATAGATGTATGATGCATAGATACATAGATAATATGATGGATGGATGCATGGATGGATAGATAGATAGATACATACATACATACATACATATATACATACATAGCTGTGAGCTCAGAAGATAATGCAGACTGAGACCAAACTGCATAATCAGAGACACTACTAATCTTACCATTAATACCCTGGAAAAGACCCTCCTCTTCTTCTTATTGACATTTGAAATGTTTCTTCTGCTTGTCAATTCCTTTTTAGGAAACCCACCCAATCAGTTATGTTAACTTCATCGTCAGAAACTTTGCACGTGGGCAACGGTTGGCTTCTGATGGGCAAGGAAGTTGGGCTCAGGAGTAAATACCAAGTTCTCCAGGGAGAATGGCAGTGAAGTCAAGGTTCACGGCTGTTTGCTTTGGAAAAGCACTTTCTGTGTCTGCGGGGAAGTGCATCTGAGGCCACTGGGGAGGCCTGGAGCGCCAGGACGGAGCCCTGGTGTTAACACGCGTACAAAGACCCCGGACGCTGCGACGTCAGAGAGGAACTGAGGAAGCCAGAAGGACCAGGCGGTTGTGCTGAGCACAGCAGATGGAATGACCGTGGTTTGGATGGAGCCAGGGTGGCCAGAGCATTGTGGGCTGCTGGCTAAAGACCTGCTGGGTGGTAATGAACAGAATGAGGCCATTAGTGGGAAGACCTCTGGGACCACACCTCATCCAGCCTTTTATTTTGCCTCTGGAGAGAGTACAAAAGAAGGCAACCAAAGCTTCACCAGCTGGCTCTCCAAATTTATTTCGCATGAACTGGATGTGTTGTTTTTAATGGCATGATCAATGCGGTCACGTTAGCTAAACAGTGATGATTTCAGAAGGAAAAATAATATGGCCTAGAGAGAAAAAAATAAATAGAATACGTTCTTTAAAATACTGTATCTAGCATTAATCCACACCAATCATTACATGTGTGTGTACATGCACACATATGTAAAGTATATGCATACAATCATCTGGAAATCTATTATGGGTCTTCCTGGGGAGGGGGGTTGGGGTTCTGCCAAACCATAGAGACAAACATGAATATGGCCAAGAAAGGGAAAAATTAAAGCAGAAATTTCTTATGGCTAATACACAAAAGTCTCTGTTAAGTGCACATTACATGATCATAATAGTTGTTCACTTTTATCAAAGATCTCGCAACCCGTTCAGCTGGTGGAGAGACCGCTTCTTATCACTACTAGTGGCCAAGACATGGGCAGCAACTCCTGTCCGACTTAGAGTTTTCTCCTAACACTGAAGGACGTTTGCCCATTTCCAAGCTCTCTGGGTCCAGTGAGAATCGCGGCCCTGCCCTCAAGCACAAGATGTAACGTACCTAGTTTTTATCAGCAGCCAGTTTATGAGATGTCCCCTAGCCCCTGAGCAAAGGGTACATGACTTTCCAGTCTTCATCCAGACTCACTTCCCTGAACAAGGAGATAGAGCAGCCACTAATTTGGGGGCCATGTGGCCAGAACTTCTCGGATCAGCCTGGATTCAAAGAACTCTCTCCTACTTTGGAAAGAAAAAGAAGGGATGGGAACTCGTATTTATGGAAAGCGAACTCACACGTCTTACAGCAAGAGTAGAATGCAGATAGAATGGTCCTCACTCTGTAGATGAGGAGACAGAGGTTAATGGGGTCGGGAAAGTCTAGGGCATAGAAACGATCCGCTCTAGGACAAGAGAACCAATATGAGCTATGAAGTTCCTAGTTCCAATGCCTGTCTTTTTCCCCATTGCCCTCCACCCTCCTAGGCATTTCAAAATCCCAGTTGGACTGGGAAAATATGGCCACCATATTGCTGGGAAAGAAATCAAAGATGAATTGTACCAACACCAAAGAACCATGAGTCATTCCACATATTTTTTTCTCTTGAGTTTAAATGCACAATGCTTTCATTTCAGATCAAAATTAATTTCTTTTTCAAAGAGAAGAGAAACCTGCAATTTAGCTGTCCTGGCTCTATAAACCCAACATTTTTGTAATTCAAAAAGAAGTACCATTAAGTGAATATTTAGTAGAGAAGTGGAAAGCCTCAATTACGCTAATTGAAGTAATTATTTCTCTTGGGAGGAAACCACAGAGAAATAAGCCAATGAATAACCAACTAACCCCCACCGTCTCCATGATGGCGCTGGGTCTTAGCCATACCACACGTATGTCTCATGGGACAGCTCGAGTGGATGATGGACCGTGATATCATGACCTGAGGTGACATCAAGGGCTGGACACTCACCTGACTGAGCCACCCAGGTGCCCTAGATTGTGTTGAGCCACCCAGGTGCCCCAGTGAGGTGGTGATCCCTACCATCTATCAATGTGGCCACTGAGGGAAAGTGAAATGCAGATTTCAATGTGTAGCTACCACAGTTATGTAACTTAGATGGACTAATTTCACTGACAATGACAGAATCCAATTTTTCCTTCGAGTAATTTTCGTATCTGAAATATTTTTTAATTCTTGTTTTAAAAATTTTTAAATGTTTTATTTATTTCTGAGGGGGGGGCAGCATGAGCAGGGGAGGGGCAGAGAGAGAGGGAGACACAGAATCAGAAGCAGCTCCAGGCTTCGAGCTGTCAGCACAGAGCCCAACGTGGGGCTCGAACCCACGAACCGTGAGATCATGACCTGAGAGGAAGCCAGAGGCTTAACCGACTGAGCCACCCAGGTGCCCTCGTACCTGAAATATTGAAGTAATTGTGTAATGTAATCTCAAACATGGATGGACAGACAAACATGGATTTCCTTGCAGGGTTTTTGACGTTTGTAGACTTTGTTCAAGGGTTACAGTTTATGCACTTATTCCTCTCTCTCAACGGAGATTTTCCTTTTCACATAGAAAATCCTTTTCTTCCAAACTTGGGACAAGATGAGCTCTCCCCCATCCTTAGCCAACGATAATACTGATAAAAAAATTATATTCTCCATGCTGTATGCAAGTATGGGACCGTAGAGAAATCGGTATGGAAAACCCACCTGTCTTTCTGACCTCAGAGCCGGGCTGTCTCCCCCAACTCCAGGTCTCCTCATGGGTAAGGACCACCGGTGATCCCAAATGGATTACCTGATACAAGCACTCTGAAAACATAACTCGGGAAGATGACAGCACCCGTGTTCCCTCTGCATGACGACCGTCATTCCTTGAGGAACAGTCGACTGGATGTCTTCTAGAAAAAAAGATCCTGGTACTCACAGCTCTTGAGTCCAGTGATTGCAGAGAAGAGTACTCTTATTAAACACGTGATGCCAACCTGCATCCAGTCTCCTCTCATTTGTTGCTAGCCGAGCCCAGGTTGTGGCCGGATTGCATTCCTCCTTCACAACGAGGATTTGGGGGAAATGCTGATGGTATCAAGTTAAGCACGGCTGGTCCCATGGTCTATATCCTGTGTAGGTTGAGCATAGGTATACAGCACAACTTTTGTAGACACATGAGGTTAGGTCTTCCAGGGAGCTCCTAGAAATTCCCTTCTGCTTGAAAAGAGACACAAAATGAGAAGACCCCTTTTTCTGCCACCTCTGGACATCACCATACTTCACTGGGACAGTGTAATCTACATCTCAGGAGCAGGAGGGAAGCTTGTCTGTGGGTAAAGCTGACATTTCGGAGGAAGTCACACCCTGACCGGTGCATGCCTGGGGCTCTGGTCCAGGGCTCGGGTGTGTTTCCTCATTGTGTGAATGTGTCAGGCTGGTTACTTTCCACTCCTTTCTGCTAAAACTGAGGGAGGGGTTCCCATTTCTCCAAATCCCAACCCTTGTCTGTATAGACCTACTAATTCAGGAAGGGGATATAAGCCTATCCAATAGCTTCTGCGGAATGGAAGCCAGACTCTGACCCAACGGTCAACCACAGGCTACCCCTTCCAAAACCATGGAAAGTTTGGCAGCCTTGGGCCTGATAATTACTCACTTTCTAAGTAGAAAATAATAAGACAGGAGACAAAATTCAGGAAATTGAAAAGTAGAAGAAGAAATTTTTAATTGTCCCTCATTGCCTCACCCAGAGATGGTGACAGCTAATGTTTTTATTTTAATATAAAGAAATATTAAAATAAAAACATATGGGGCGCCCGGGTGGCTCAGTCAATTGAGCGTCTGACTTCGGCTCAGGTCACGATCTCATAGCTTGTGGGTTTGAGCCCCGCGTCGGGCCCTGTGCTGACAGCTCAGAGCCTGGAGCTGCTTCGGATTCTGTGTCTCCCTCTCTCTCTGCCCCTCCCCCACTCATGGCCTGTCTCTCTCAAAAATAAATAAACGTTAAGAATTTTTAAAAAGGAAAAAAAAGAATCCATTTTGCACGCGTGGGTGGCTCAGTCAGTTGAGCATCTGACTCTTGCTTTCAACTCATTTCATGATCCCCGGGTCATGGGATTGAGTCCCACGTCTGGCTCTGAGCTGAGCATGGAGCCTGCTTAAGAT